CTCCTGATCCTCAAAGTACTCTTGCGCTGAGTTCCACGCTTGCATCTGAGACTATCCATTTGGATATCCCCGGGTCTTTAAGGATTGAAATATTCAGACGGAAGGGGGGTCTGTGTCTCTGTACTATCTCCTTTGTTAGAATCTCCATGACTACCGGATAGTGGTCTGACACAGATGCCACCAAGACGCCACACCACATGCATCTGTCCCATGGTTCTCCCTTTGCTAATATGAAATCCAAGCGCCTCTTGGGTTGTGGTGCGTTTTTGGAGGGCCTCGGACCGTGTCAGGAAAACCCTGGAACCTCAGGGTTGAGAGTTTTGTACACGGCCACCAGATTTTGAGATTCCATGAACACAGTCATCAGCAGTGCGTCGTCCCTAATGGGGGAAACATTGGGAGAATCCAATCAGGGTTCAATGTGCAATTCCAATCTCCCTACATTATTAAGTTATCTGTGTCCGGTATTATTTTTGGAAGGTCCGCAAAAAAATTGGTCCGGGCTGCATAATCAACTGGAGCGTACACTGACACCACCGCCCAGTCTTCATCAGCCACCGCCAATTTCATCCAGGCTCATCGGCCTTCCAAATCTGTATATGTATCAATAATCTCTACTTCCAGACTTTTATCAAGGAGGATAGCTACCCCCTCTTTCGTCCCTACTGCTGGGGACCAAAGTTGGGGACCCCCCCCACCAATTTGAAATTTCCGTTAACTTATCTGACCCAATTTTCGTTTCTTGCAGTCCCAGAATTTGGATCCTTTTAGAGTGCACCCAATCCGTCACTCTTTGCCTTTTGTATGTGTCGTTGAGGTCACCCAGTCCTCTTACGTTCCAACTAGCCAGTCTGATCCTACTGGGTAGGGTCATCCCTGTTAGTTGTTCCGCTCGGATCTTGGATGCGGGTTTCGTTCTTTCCCCCATTGCTCGACTCAGGCTGATCAGCTGTCAAAAGTTCTCCTACCGCAAAGTTAAAGTTCTTACCTGTTTTCCTGTTTAGGACTGTCCCAGTAAAGGAGTCTGCTAATATTACTGTGCGATTATCGGACAATACCACCCAATCTGTCACGGCCTGAGCAGTCAGACCAGTCAGAAGTCTGATGCTTTGGATTGTATCCGAGTGGGGCGTGACCAAGTGATTGAGTTCCACCCAATATATTTTCAATTCATCCCACTTAGATTTATTATTTATTATATGGGTCAGGTCCAGAAAGGCTATTCTGAGCCCTACCTTTGTTCCATCAGGCATGTCCACCAGGTGGCGGGCAATCTTTGGTTCCGGGAGAATTCCCACCTCTCCCAATTTCTGCAGAACATGAATTTTCACTAAGTTGCAGATCATCACTGGGGAGGGGGAGCTTTGAAGCACCACGGATGGGAGGATCAGCGACTCATCTTTTCCCATGACGGTCAGGAATCTAAGTCCCTGGCCATCATAGGAACAGATTACAGGTATCAGGTATTCTGAGATCAGGCCTTTGGCCTTCTCCCCTCTACTTAAAGTCCGTATTGGCGCTGCCATAGCTAAGGAGCGTCTGGCTGGTTAGAGGATTTGAGACCGTCCCCTTTTTAAGAGGGAGATTCGAGCTACCTCCTCTAAGCCTTCTCCGCTCTCTTCCTCCCCCCTTCTTTCCTGATATTTCAATCCTTCAATTCAGGGGCGTTTCACAGAGGAAGTAGTGGGGATTATTTTAGTCCGGGGACACTTGTCTTGAACAGTCACTGCAGGTGAGGAAAGGACAAAAGGGTGCATCCTATCCCCCTTATCTTCCTCCTGCAATTGTGTTTTCCTGTTTTCACCTCTTGTCCCCTCTACTTCATCGAGCAAATCCGGTAACGGGGAGAGGAATTCTTGTGTTGGATCATCCTCATCCTCTTCCTCCCCTTCCACTGGTTCTTCCCACCCTTCCTCCTCTTCATCCTCGGTCGATAAAAGAACTTTTTTATTCTTTATCACCAAGGAATTCATTTTCATCTTGCTTCTAACCTTTTCTTCATCGTCGGATAGATCTTCCCCGGATAGAATTTGGTATTAGAAAAAATAAAAATAAAAAAATTGTCACAAACCTGATGCGTATAGTTGGCCCTCCTCACGTGGCGACTGGGCTGTGTGCCAGGTTCATCAAAACAGGCACCGGAAAACAGATAACTTTTTGTCGATTAGTGAGGAGTGCGCGATTCGCAAGAGAAGGGCTTGGTGAGAGCTTTCTTTCGATGGCGACGCCTGCATGAAGCCCTGATCCCGATACAGGGAGCAATGCCGGCGGTGACTCCAGGGGCCAAGTCCCACTTGCCGGAATTCTGCATTTGTGACCATAGATTATGCCCATCAATGGCCGTAAATGAAGGATCTGGGCAAGTGGGACTTGGCCCCAGGGGAAGGTCAGAGTTGTTCCTGCTGCAAAGTAGGCGTTGAAGTATGAGTGAGGGGTGGCCACACTTAGGGTGCGCTCACACCGCGTGGATTTGGGTCCTCTTCGACTGCTCCGATTTGGGAAAATAATAGCTGGACCCGTCGCACACACTACTTCTCCATTTCGCAACAGACAAGGTTGAGGCCGCCTGGATTTTGGGTCCTCTTGTTTTTATTTTTTCCCTTTATTTCTAAAAGTGAAACGGTATTCACCAATTCGTGGTAGCTGAGGCAGATCCCAAGGCTTGATCCCTAGTTCCCCAACTTACCTGTGTATAATACTTGCGTCAACTCGAAGAGTTGAACCTGCGACCTGTAGAACCGCCAGTGGTAGGTAGATTGTCGTAGGGCACAAGATAGAAAGGAATCGAACTGTACACCTCTAGGGTGGAAGTCCAGATAGTTCCAGAGTTGTAGCTGAAGACTGCCTGAAGAGTCAAGGTTGTAGCTGCTACTTACCTGAAAGGGCAAAGTCGTAGCTGCTACACTGCCGAAAGGCCAACTTAGAGAGTTCTAGAAGTGGCCTTTCGGAGTCAGCCCCTGTTAGGT